TGTATATATACTATAGTGTTTATAATAAGTAGGTCCCTAGGAGAATCTAGAATATTCTAGAGTTTTTTCTAAGTTATTATACCTATCTCTTTTTCTCTATAAATAAGCTAGAATTCCTCTAAACTAGAAATAGAATAATAAGGTTAATAATATATTCTTTTTCTTCTATATCTTCTACCTATACCCTTACTTCTATATACCTATTAATAATTACTATAGTAGTAAAGAAAGTAGTTAGAAGAGTAAGTTACTAATATTTTAAATATAACTAAGTTACTAGAAAATAAGAAGAAAATAGCTTTTTTTACTAATATAAAATATCTTTATTAGAAAAGATATTTTATTAACTAAAGTTAAATTATAACTAACTAGAGAATTAACTAAAGTAATTAAAGTTATTTTTTTAAAATAAATTATAATAAAATATATAAAAAAAACTATTTAATAACTAAGTTATTAATACTTAAAAAAACTTAAGATTAAGATATAAATTTAAAATCCAAGTTAATAATTAATAAATATTAAAAAAGAAATTATATTAAGTTTAAAATCTTAGTTAAGTAAATTCTTATTATTTCTTTTTTTTTTTACTTTTTATTTATACCCTCCTCCTTCTTCTCTTCCTCTTAAGGTATCTTTAATATAGCTAGTACTAATGTTAACGCTAACACTTAATATTATTACTATTGCTATTACTATAATAAAGGCAGCTAAAAGAAGCCTCTAGTATATATATAGTTTATTAGCGTTGGTTAGCTACTTAGTATATATATAGAGAGGCTATGTATGTGCTGGAGGCTTCTTTTGGCTGCCTTTGTTGGTGTTGGTTAACGTCGGGCACCCCCTTATAGGCTATACCCTCTTATAGGCTACCTCTTCCCACTAAAAAACATAAAAATACACCTTTTTTAAGTAAGCTTTATAGCCCTTCTATATATACTATAATTATATAAAATTATTAATAAAATAAAGAAAAGCTTACTTTATAATATTTTAGTTTTTTTAAGTTTTATAAAAAAGTTTATAAAATAGTAATATTTAGTTAAAGTTAAAGGAAATCTTCTTTTAGTAGATAAAAATAATTTTAACTATTTCTTTTTTTAATATAAGTTTTTATATAAAATATTTAAAATTAGATAAAAAATATATTAAAATACTAAAATTTTTAAAGAATTTAGATTTTAGATCCTAGCTTATATATAAATTCTTCTTAATATTTTAAAAATTAAAGTATTTTTTCTTCTCTTATTTTATACTTACTTTTAATAACTTAAAATCTATTAGTTAAAAATACTAGATCTTTTAATATAAGAGTCTTATTAATATAAATAGTATATACTATGATTTTAAAAATTCTAGTAAATCTCCTTAAAAATTGTAAAATAATATTAAAATATTAGAGATTACTAGTAATTTTCTAATAAAGCTTAATATTTCTCTTTACCTTTTTTAACTAATTATATTAATTTAATAAAATTTATTTAGATTTTAGAAATTTTATATAAGAAAGTTTATTACTTAAGCTATTTAACTTATATTTTTAAATAATTTTAGTATTTTTCTTTATTTTATTATATAAGATTCTATTTTGGTGTAGCTACACTAAAAATGGTGGCCTAAATATGGGTGTGGCCCACAAGCGGGTGCCCGACGTTAGCTGCTGGCGTTGGCTGGCGTTGGCTGGCTGCTGGCGTTGGCTGGCTGGCGTTGGCTGGCTGCTGGCGTTGGCTGGCTGCTGGCGTTGGCTGGCTGCTGGCGTTGGCTGTATTACGCATAGCCTTTAACGCACACATAAACAGCCCTCTAACAAAGCAGCTTCTATCTAGCCACATAGGCATGTAGATTAGGGCTAGATAGAAGCTTTCGTTAGAGGGCTGTTTATGTGTGCGTTATAGGCTGTGTGTGTGTGTGTGTGTGTGTTGAAGAAGGGAGGAAGAGGTGGGTAAAAAGTAAGGGAGAAAAAATAACAGCTATTTCGCTGGCTAGATAATTGCCTATTAAGAGCCTGTTACCTGTCAGGCTTCTTGTTGCCTATCAGGGCTTTTTGAGGCCTAGCAGCGCTTTTTAAGGCCTAACAACGCACCCTGCAATATCACACAGGGCATGTCTAGAGAACCCCCCTCCCGCGTAGGTAGCTGCCAGAGTCAACAGCGCCAGAGTTAACAGCGCCAGAGTTAACAGCGCCAGCCAACGGAGTTAACAGCCGCCAGCATCAACAGCGCCAGCATCAACAGCGCCAGCTGCCGGAATCAACATCTGCCAGAGTTAATAGCCAGTTGCCAGAGTCAACAGCCAGCTGCCAGCTGCTAAAGTTATGCTAGGGCTACTACCGTATACTCCGTACTAAGTAATTAGAGCAACTGCCACGCATCTGCAATTGAGCATCATTTTTCTGCCGTTTTTTGCCCCACTTCGACCAAGGTTGAGCTTTGTTCGACCAAGGTTGAGCTGGTCCCCCACTCAATTGCAGGTCCTTTGCAGATGCGCTACGAGGTAATCATTCAAGTCAATCAACATAATTGGCTGTGAACCAAGGCTCGTTGACTGACTGGCTACAGCCTACCTCGCTGCCAATTGAATGGCTGTTGATTCACTAGCTGTTGATTGACTAGCTGTTGATTGACTAGCTGAAAATTAACTGCTGTTGATTGTCTAGCTGTTGGCTGACCGGCGGCTGATGATTAACTGTTGATGATCAACTGCTGTCGATGGTCAACTACTGTTGATGATTTACCGCTGTTGATGATTTACCGCTGTTGATGTTTTACCGCTGTTGATGATTTACCGCTGTTGATGATTAACTGCTGTTAATGATTAACTGTTGATGATTAACTGCTTTTGATGCACTGGCCTGTTGATTGAGATGGCTATTAAAGTAACTCATTACCCCGGAATTGCATTCTCGCTACGGCCAGATAAACACTAACTAGTGCCTTGCAGGCAACTCACACCAATTTTTTAAACCAATCAATCAATCAATCAATCAATCAATCAATCAATCGCCTTCGCCCTCGCTTGGCACTTGGCTGACCACCCGTCTTTTCGTCTTCAACGCCAAACTCTGCTCTCAAAGGACCGTGACAACCCGTCTGTCTCTCACCAGCGTTGTGAGGACGGAGCGCAACGCCTCAGCGTTTCGCACACACTTATTGCCTTCGGAATCAATGAACTCAAAGGTTTTTTGGGTGGCATCTCTGACCAGCCTGCCATTTCTATCCATCAAATGCCCCGCGGCATTGATATCTCCCACGATGATGAGCCCAGACCGCGGGCGAGTCATCGCAACATTCAGTCGCGCCGGATCCGTGGTGAATCCAGGACCCGAAGCCACCGTGGTACCCATGACAAGGACAATTATGTCATTTTCTTGCCCCTGAAAGGAGTCCACGGTGGAGGGACTGGGCATGCTGCTGAGAATCGGGCCATACTTATTACGCCCCTTGAGTTGCTGTTTGATCTCAGCAACATTGGCAGCGTAGGGTGAGAGTATGCTGATGCGCGCAGGATCCACCCGCGTGGCCCTGATGAATCCGGCGATAGCATCCAGAGCAATTGTCACTTGCTTGGAATTCATTCGGGAGCCGCCGGTCATGTTATCTTGCTCGGTTATGGAGTTTGGGCAGTGCAAGAACACTGGTCGAAGCCTGTCGCTGGTAGGTGGAGCAGCGAGCACTGGAAACACTCTCCGCAGGTATCTCTCGAGATCCCGCCCAATCTGGAACTCTGGCCGCGAAATGTTGCAGCTGGCACTGTAAGTAAGTGGGACATCCGGGTAGGTGACTGCGGAAGGAATGTCAAACATTCCCTTGGCCATGCGAAGTTGTCGATTCAGACGATATACCGGCATACCCATCGCCTGAAATTTCAGCAGAGCCGAGATTTTCCCGTACTTGGCGAAGCGATTGCGGTATTCACCTTCGGCGGTACCCTTGTCCATCGACGAAATGACAGTGGGTGGCAGCTGCATGTGATCGCCGCCAAGGAAGGCCGGCTGCATCGTGTTGCCCCAGACATCGTAAAGGTCGGCGCAATTCATGTTGCCAGCCTCGTCTATGGCAATGGCCTTGGCATGCCAGTGCTTCCACATCGCGTACTCTCGAACGTTGTGAGAAGCGGCGGGAGTGACGCACAAGACGTCGACATACTGAAGCAACTTCCCGATGTAGTTGGCGAATTGTTTCTTGTCCAGCCCGCCGGCCTCGTTGAACGCCGGGTCGTTGAAGGCCGCCCAACTCATCTTGCCTTGTGCAACGGCACGCAGTCTCGCCGTAGCTGCCTCAACAGGAAGGTCGCGCAAAGCCCAAAGTCCAGCACTATCGTCATTTTCGAGCTTTCTCACGGCAGGAGAGCCAAGCACCATGAGCAGCCAGTACGTAGGTGACAAGTGTAACTTCCATCGAGAGTTGGAGTTATCAAGGAGCATGTGGTCCGGCACGGCAGCGTCGCCTAAGCTTGGGTCTTGGAGCAGTGCTTTGATAGCTACCAGCTCAACCTCCAGCTTGTAGCCACGGACGACAGTCAGACGGCGGTAAGAAGGTGCCTCTTTGTCCGT